GAATAATTGCTAAATATTGTGCAGAGTTGCAGATTTTAAAGACGTTTCTTCACTTATTGTTTTGCTTTGATCCCTTTAATCAAAACAATAGAAGAGAACACATACATAAATCTGTGAACACACTTTTGTCTCAGCCCAGAAGATCTGTTAACTCGATAGCAAAATAAAAATGGCCCACTTTGTTGCTATAGTAGTGGAGCAAAGAAGGAGAAGAAAAGTCTAAGCAGAGGGGACACCAAGGAGAGACGGGAAACAGGAGGAAGCCAATACTCGAAAGCAGAAAGGGACATTAAATATGGAGAAGAGACAAGCAGGGGCAGAATTACACTGAAGTACCTGTCCGGGTACGCTTCCACTCTTGGTGTTAATTAATACCATCAGGCTGGGAGAGAGTTTCGAGAGCAGCTCGCATTTTAAACAGTTCTCCAGTGAGTTCAACACACGAGTCCTGTTCTCAGAGCAAAGTCTGGTGACTTTCAACGGCAACTGTGTCCCTGTGGCAAGATTTACACGTCAATCAAGAATTTTTTTTCAAGATTTTTAGGTTAAAATAGTTTCAGGAAACATTTAAAGCAAAAAAAGGACTACGATGTTTTACTTTTACAGCAGGTCATTTAAAACACATTTAATGTTTTGGAATTATTAAGCTTGATGAAAATTTAGACTTGATGTAAAGATGTTAAGTCTTGGTTATGTTAAAGTATCTGACATGCATGTCCTTTAAATACAAAAAGTTAAAGAAAACAACTTTGTATTTAAAAAACTTGGCATATACAAACAATTTCCCCCCATTCTGTCACGTAACTGGCACATTTTGATTTGAACTTGGCGCAAAGTGAAACAGGAAGTGACATCAAAGGGGAACTTTGTGAGAAAGGAAACTGCTTTTTATCTAATGAAACAATATTTGACCTCTTCATCTCTCTGATAGTGACTCAAAACAAGAAACATTAGATTCTCCTCTACAGTCTGTTGACCGTTGTAGCAATGCTTTGTTTACATGCAGACATTCCCCTTTGATATCACTTCCCGTTACAAAATATGCAGATATCTCAACAACTGTTCATCTCAGTAGTGTGATTTTTTTATTTATTTTTTTGCAATATGTAGTTAACGTTATCTTTCCAAAAAAATGTGTTTATTTTTATTAACAAAAATGTGATGTCAGAGGCACTTTAAGGGTTATTATTAAAGGTGATTTTTTTTCTGTGTGTGTGTGTGTGTGTGTGTGTGTGTGTGTGTGTG